CCGACGCTCGATAACCGCGTTTGATGAATACCGATTTACCGCACCGTGTATACGATGCGTACTTTGCGCGTGGATGTGCAGATGTGTAGGGGGGTATCTCTCACCTGTACGCGTGGTATCTTTCATCCCGTGACGTCCGTGTGCGAAAGCGTTCGCAAAACAATTTGTTATCTCTCCGCCCGAAATGCAGTCGAAGGCCACGATCATGTATCAGAAAGGAGAGTAGGATATCAATGCGAAACGCTAAACTCGCGGCAACGTGTAAATGTGATATGTATATTTTACGAGCAAAGCGTGTAACGTTTTCAAAGTAAATTTAGCATTCGCATATTCGGGGAATATGTATATTTGAAATGTAATTCGCAAAGATATTTGAGACGCGCCTTGACTTTTTGAGATATTTCGGAAGCGCGACATTTTCTCATTGAGCTTCGAGACGTCGTCGACTAAATACCAACGCTGACAGATATATAACGAAGGCTAAAGGGTACCGAGAATTATTAACATTGTCGGACGTCGGTCGTATTGTGCACCCGCTGCATATTTCGCGTCCAAGACACATCCGTTTCCGTCATTGTTTCCACGGAATAACATTGTATAATCGCGATACTTAGTAAGCACATAGCCCGGGAGATCCACGAATGCATTTCCGCGTCACTTTCTTCTGCGAACGTGCATTTCGCGCGCGTTAACAGTTTACGAAAGAAACACGTGTCGCAAAGTCGGTGCGAAGAAGGCCGCGTTAATTATCCGCAAATTTCGCAAATATTTCTTTTTTGCATATCGCTCCCTTACTTTAAAAGTGACGCAACTTGAAAAATTAAATTTCTCAAAAAAGGAAAAAATCTGTTTTTTTTTCAACTTTACAGAAAACAATTGATTAATTAAATAATATATATGTTGAATATAATTTCACAACATGATCAAACGACACGTTTGTCATTTTCGTTTAGTAACCTTTAAAAAATCTTTTTGAGTTGTAACAATTTTTTATGAATTTAGATTATTTTTATTTTTAGTAATTGATAGAGTAATAATTGTACTTGTCTCGTTCATGGTAATAATTCGTATGTCGCGTTTATTAATTTGCGTTACTTTTGAAATGAAGGAGCGATATGTACATGGAACAAAGAGCGAATGCTTTTTTTTTCTTTCAGCATTACAATTAAATAACGTTTTCCCAAAGTGCCGACGAAAGTAACACCCGTCTGTCGAGGCTCGGTTACAACGAGATCTAATTTCATGCAATTCCCCGGCTTTTGATTCCCCTGGTAATCAACAGATACACACAGAGAATGGAAAAGAGAGGGAAAGAGAGAGATCGCGCGCATAAACATGTACACACATCTAACACATACATACACACATATACACACGCAGAGACAACACAGTGTTCAATATTTTCGGAGTCACCCTGTAGATCGAAAAATCTCGCATATAGTAATAACAGATTGTATAACACTTAAGCTTTCCGTAATGATACGAAAGACATACGAAACCTACGAATTGTTATGTTTTCTACAGTAACGTTTGTACTACCGACTTACAACAATATTTGTACAATATACGATAAAAGAGAAACGTGTACCTATACAACATAGGTTACCCAGATGCAATAACTTTTTTAAACGGTGTTAATGGTTACCGGAATATTTTTCATACTTGTAACGACTCGTTGCGGCGTTTCCGTTCGTCCGTCCTGCGGTCCGTCCGTCCGTCCGTCCGTCCGTTCGTAACGGCGTGACGCGACGCGACGCCGCGGCGCGGCGGCCGGGACCCGCGGCAACCACTACTCGTTTCGTTTTGTGCCAACCAGAGTCTTAGATTTTGCTTTCCCAGAATTTAATAACGTGCTGTTAAAGCGTAACAACAAATGAAACCGGACCTTTAAGGGAATCGAATGCCCATGCCATTCCACTTTAGCACATCTCGACACCAAGCACCCACGCCCATTCGCTTGATTATCGAATATTAGAGGGAGAGAAAGAGACAAAGAGAAAAAGAAGAAGAAAGGAGAGAGAACAAGAGAGAGAGAGAGAGTGTGTGTATGTTTGTATGTGTGCGTATGTATGAGAGAGAGAGAGAGAGAAAGAGAGGCAGTTGAAAGACAGAGGGAAATGTGTAGTGTACACATAGTTTGTCAGCAAAAAAGCAAACGTTCTTCAAGCGAGCGCGAGAGACGGAATTTGAGCGCCGCCGACGAGAAAATGTTTGTTTGCGACGAGACTCTCGAAACTATCTCGCGGCGTTAGTAATTCGATTATCGGACTTTGCGAGAACGGATACGAGAGAGCCTGTAAACGGAACGCAAACGCCAATGGTGCCGTTACGATCTCTCCGCGATGCATTCGACAATGTGCACTCGATATTCCGATGATACGCCGAGTTGTCGCGGAAAATTAAGAGCAATATAACTCGCGCTTGTCACAGCTTCGGAAGAAAATCAAGGTTTGAAAACGTAAAAGCTCTCGATATTTATGCGGGGCAATATCATTGAGATTTCTTAATCGCATTTGAGAAAGACTTTTTTAATTTAATTCAAAAAAAAAAGGTATCTTCAATTTTTCGTCACAGAGGCGACACCACAATCAAACATTTAATATAATACCTCGATCACCCTTGTTTCGAGATTTTCTTGGTCGCACTCTAGAGATCGTTAAATTTTCACGGTAATAACATCGACAAAATTATCAATTCATCAAACTTGAGAGGGAAGAAAAGAGACGAAACAGTATCGAAAATAAAAATGTAAATTGTACATCAATATATATGTAATGTATAACATTTTTCGTTAACACTACAGTAAATCCTGATTTTTTTTTTCTTTGCAATTTTATCTCTAAACAAGATTATTAACTTTTCACTATGCAATCGTGTTTATTGAAAATTTTTGAAATTTTATATTAAGAAATGCATTAAGAAAAAGAATAGTTGTAAAAAATATTGCGAGCTAAATATTTTTTGTCGCCAATATCATGATATTAATAAAAAATGTTAAATTAATATTTTTACACGTAATTAGTTACCTATTTTGTTTTTTATCAACAAGATGCTCTTACAACTGTCGAGTACATCAATATATTTTTAATCCGGTTGTACTGTTTGCTCTTCTCTGCTTTTCGAACACCTTGTACGTGTACGATATCGCGTGATACTCGGAACTCCCGAGTGCGACCTTGCTGATCTTAGATATTATGGGCTGCGATAGGACACGTATGTGAGTTATCGAAGCGCGATCTTCGCTTGCGGTGGAATAAAAAAAAACTACCGACCAACCGACCAATGCGTCTCGTTTTTGGATATTCTAGTTTATTTTTACGAGTCGTTCGCGATAGCACAGCGACGTGATGTCACCTTCGTACGTGATTAGGCAATGAATGAGCAACGATCGAATCTCCATCTCACAATTTTTTTAGCAGTATATTTTTGTCCTCGTTGCCATTTATTAAATTATTGAATATAAGCGCAATAAAGAATTCGGCACAAAATTAAAATTTATAAGATTTACTTTAATTGGAATTTTCTTCGTATTTTTATATTTAGCAACAGGCAAAATTAATTTCTTCCTATTACTTTGTGAAAACAAAAAGTTAATTTTTATGAAAACATTTCTTTTTTTTTTGGGATGATAAAAAGGTTAATTTTAAAATATTCAATATATAATTAAACTACTTATTTTTTCGCGAGAAGAACAATTTATTTATGAATTGAAAATCATAAAATATAAAAATTTCAACACCATCATGCGTCCTCATTGCTATCGCGAACGACCGTGTGAGAATATATATTGTAAAAAAGGGATATATATTGTAAAAAAAAAATGGCGCTGTGTCCCCGAGCTCATTGTAACCGAGTCACTATGTTCAACTCGTACAAGCGTTCACTTGGACACTAGAGACGTGTAAGATGGACCGGATGGACATGACCGAGGAGGCGACTGAGCGAATAATCCGAGAGCATTTCCGTCCATCCGATACGTTTCGTTCTGTGCTGCAAGTTTCGGTAGATGGATTGTTGACAGGTCCGATTTCAAATTGTCCGAAATTGAATGTCGTGAAATTTTTAATTAAAGCCATGAAATCGTAGAGCCACGTTGCGAATGCGTCCTGAGATTTGTGAGCTCAACTGAGTCTCGGTTTAACGGCGTTTGTATGCAAATACGCGCGAACGCCTGTGTACACGTATGCATTTCAGCTGTATGTCGGTAGGAATCGGACGTTTCGGAGAAAATCGGCAAAATTCGGAATCTCGTAGAAACACACGAAGGAAAACCAGGAAAACCTACTCCGACAGAAAAAAAAACCTACTCTCGTCCGTAAAATTCCACCAATATCGACAATGCGTTCTGAACGTTCCGATCATAGCGGATAGCCACAACTGATTTGGCTTGGCGTAAAAAAAAAAGAAGTAAATTAAAAAAACTGGTTTGTTTCGATTCTTAGACGAACGAATGCATATCATAGTTGTAAATTAACAATTTGTGAAATAAAAGCTGCAAACTGTTTGTGTTAACAATACGTCACGTGCGTACGATGTGTGTGTTCTTGCCTGCCTCTGCTGCGCAACCGCAATCCCCGCCGTGTATCCAATCTCGCGTGAAACCCAGAGCGATATTATGCCGTAGGGATTGTTTATCGCTATCATAAGCCGCATCCGCGTGATACAAAGGGTAAGTGTACAGTTCATAATCTTCCATTCGAGCGTGAAACAATACCCGAGACATCCGCTGCGACACGCTATTCGAACGTTCGCGAGACAAATGACCAAGTTCAAAATGAGCTGATTTTTTTTTTCAATAAAATAAAATTCAAATTATATATCGGAGATGCTTGAATTATTGAAATTAGTTGAATTTTGTCTAAATGATTCAGAGAGTTAACGACAATCTTCAGTATCGAGGAATCGCGAAACAGTTAATCGAGATGCTCGGGTTCGAAGAATCGAGGTGCTCAAGATTGAAGTTGTACCGTCGTACGACGTAATGTCCTCCCCTGTTGCAGGTCTCGCTCGCCCTCGGACTGGACGCGGGCGGATGGGGCGCCCTGGTGGAGCGGACGAGCGCGCACGGAGGCACCGGCAGCACCATCCTCGGGCACGGCGGTTTCACCGGGCTAGCCGGACTGGCGCGTCGCTGCGGCGTCTGCCTGGCGACGTTCCCGTCGCCGTGGCTGCTGGAGCGGCACGCGTTGCTGCAACACGCCGGCCAGACCAGCGACGACAAGCCGTTCACCTGCGAGCAGTGCGGCCAGCGCTATCGCTATCGGTCCGCCTACGTCAAACATCGCGAGCAGAACCATCGCGCGCGGCTGCCGGCTGACAAGCTCTTCACCTGCGATGTATGCGGCATGCAGTTCAGGTATCTAAAGTCCTTTAAGAAGCACCGCCTCAACCACGCGCTTGAGCGGTTGCAGCGCGCGCCCGAATCTCAAAACAGCGTAGTCGTCGTCTCG